TACTTTCAATGTCGGTATTTTAAAAAAAAGAAGAACCAAATTCTCCCTGCCTTAATGGCCTACATTGGACATTTAGTTATATTTCTTAATTGTTACCTGGATTTATAACCATACAAAATTGACATCATCTTTTATAGTTCATCAATATTATGGAGTAAGTGTGTCATGTTTTCATTTTGTCGTATGTACTTTGGGACCAATTTACTTTATATTCTTATTATCTAAACACAAACAAACTATTATGACAGTTGCATGATAAATTCTTTTTCACTTGTTCACTAAAAATGATAATCATTTTAAATTTTTTATTTCTATTACTCAATACAATATAGTATATGTCAATTGTCAATTTAACTTTATATACTTGCTATATTTCTTGATTGTGATGTTTGAGAGTCGTTTCGTAAATACTGTTGAAATAATTTGTATTTATTTCCTGTGCTACTTGGACTCTATATTGATAAAATATTTATAAAATTGATATTACACTGGTCATAAATTGGTACATTGTAGACAGTCGCTGTATGTAATTTATATACATAGTAAGCAGAGGTTCTGCTTATTTATAACAGGTCTGTGTCTAAGCCAACTGAATGGGTTCGTCACTATATATATTATGCTGTACGTTTAACCAGGTGGGATATAAACCTCCCTATATTTCCTATGTATTGCACAAGTGTATTAATAACCCTGAAACGATTTTTTCCCCGGTTCTATCCAAAGCTTGGCAAATAAATGAAATACATTCTTTAATATATCATGACCTCTATCTAAATATTGTGTGACATGCGTTACTTCGATATGTCCTGTTGATTTAAACTAATTAAATATCAATAATAATTAAATTATTTTATATTACGATAAAAATATGTTATTGCTCAATATTAGTAGGATCCAAATTATATATCCACTGTATCACTAGAGAGAGCCCCCTGGCCCTATATGCAGATGTTATAGAAAACGATTTTTCAACGTTAAACCGCATTCTGTGACTCAATCATGCACACACGCTGTTGTATTCCTGTATCATGTGCAGAGATTAGGAAATTAGAAAACATGTGCATTTCATGTGCAGAGATTAAAAAATGGAAAACATGTGCATTTCATGAGCGGAGATTTAAAAAATAGAAAACATGTACATTTCATGTAAAAACAGAGGACCGGGTCAGTTATTTTCAATTTAATTTTGAAAATGGTGAGTTTTCACAATATGTACAACAACAATTCATTTTTCCCACACGGTTCAACACCCACTGAGCAGACTCTCAATAAACTCTCGCGATTAAAGTTTTATTTTCACCTCAGAAAATATTGTTTTTACTGTGCATTGAATTAGCTGCACTGCTTCCACCAGGGGTCCCACCTGCCGAGGTAGAGTCCCCCTGCGATCAGCCCCGGGGTTGGGGGGACGCAGCATGCATTTCAGAACCACCAAAGTACCGTGAATAATTTGTATACATTAAGAAATACATTCTTCAAAACATCTTTTGTGTGAAAATGTTCGAGTTGAGCTCGGGAGCTCGAGGCGGTTAGCGTCTTTATTCGACTCAGTAGGTCTCTAAGCATGATCTTTTTTCCTGAGTAACCCCTAAATCCCACGAGAGGTTAATTTTCATTGAGAGTTGACCCCTGAAGGGTTAAACCGATTGTTTCGAGGGCATGTTGAGTAGAGAGTTACTAAGATCACATTTTGGTGTAAAAATACCCTTAAACACAAAAGGATGTTTAAACAGTAGTAAGATAATTGATTTTTGTTCTTCATTAAAGTCGGTGTCGGAAGCTGACCTAAGAGTTGAACAATTAATAATACAGTGGTGAGAACTATTTGTTATTTGAGAAAAAGAAAACTTTCTGTCCATCTCGAGTTTGAGAAAATTATTCACGGTGTTTTGAGCGTTTTACACTTTGAGCTGGTAACCTCTGATTCAGAATTGTTAACCGGTGACTCATAAAAAAAAGCCACGCAGTGTTACCCCCAATTCTATGGTAATTCTCAAAATACAATTTGAAACCAGCTCGAAAACGACAATAAACCCGTATCTGAACGTATGCTTATGCTCCGATCAACAATAGACTAATACATAAAGATGGTTTAACATGCATTTTTAGCGAAATGAAGGTTTTAGCACTTTCTCGCTAGCTATACAACACACTGAACTGTCGTCAATTTAATGATAGATATATCACTAACTGAAATAAGAAAAGACAATAGTCATGCATGCTGACGTCATAATAACAATGCTGTGTTATTCATTAAGCATTGACAACTTTGATATGTGTAATTCTCGTTGTCGTCACCCGGGATGACGATAAATTCACACGTTCAGATTAACTCCATGCCTTGATGTGTAAATACCAAATTTTACATAATATCATTTAGCGAAATTCTTGCTAACTACACGAAAACAACACTTTTTTTCCACACGTGTAAGTTGATAACATGGATAAACAAAAGACGAACAAGAAACAAAACATATCTTGTCATTTATTTAAACAATTATGTTAATTATTAAATAATAATAGCAAAATTATTTAACGATTGATGAATACTATCCATATTCAAATGTGCTCTTTGCTTACAGTGGTAGTATTATGATCATACAAAGAGACAACCCTGTAGTGAGGGTGCGTCAGTGATGATGGAGAACGCGATTCTTCTGTTTACAGCTTCATAAGCTTTCCGAGACGATTGTGGCACTCAGCACGGTCGGTATTTGTAAATATGCAATAGGTCGTGCTGTAGCACCCATATGTAATGGCAGATCGATGCGATTAGGTGCCACGTCGGTCTGATAATGAATGAGCGGACTCTCCCATGCATTATGTATTCATAACAGATCACAAAATATGGAATGAATAATAAACGGTCGATATCCATCCATCCAACCGACACCATCTCGCAAGTGAATTTTGATAACGGGTAAGATGAGATGACATTTGTCGATCAAATAGAATTATTAAATAGAACCATTGGTTGCCAAAAATGTGGCATGGTTTCACGTTGGAGTTCAGTCTAACTACAAAATGCAGATCACTTTTTTTAGATCTCTTTTTTGAAGGCACATACTTTAAGGGAGCTTCTTGATAAGCAAATTATCTCGTTATATATTGTTTATTTAATATGCGAGATTTTTCACGAATTTTCCTTGTAGAAAATTGTTAAGGGGAGATGTTCACGTTCGGTTCCTTTCACTGTCATTGTGGCAGAATTTCTGCCGAATAACACAACAGCAATGATTGGTTGTTTTTTTAGACGGCGACTACATAATTCTTAAACAAAATAACTCAAGCTATATTTGTGCTGTTCGAATAAGAAAACATTTTAAAAAAAGAGAGTAAATTTTGCGTTATGTTACGGTACATTTAATCCAATTTGAGGTTGGTTGATTACTAAATTATTCAGTATCGACAAAAAGTTCACATTTTATTATTAGCAGCAGTAATTATTCCAAATTATATCATACATTGCACGATTGCGTGGTACACGATGCAAAACTCTCAACGTTGCAGCGATGTACGGAGTTTGTCTTATAACATATACCACCCACTGAGAAAACGTTAAGTTTTACAACATCGCCGAGAAATCTAATATGTTTGTTGTAAGCTACGTATTCTTTTCTCTCCCCTTTCCCAATCCGACATATTCAAGTAAACACCCGTATGTAAAATTGGAAACACGGACGCCATAAACGTAAAAGTCTAGCAACTCTATAAAGCGTTCGGAGAATGTGATATACGTCCGGCTTCATTCCGATTGTAGGGCTCCATCGTTCGGTTTTAGTAGCGTGTGTTCGGGCAGCAGGTTATTCGAGGAAGCGTTTTATTTTTCAAAGGTTGCTGAATTTTGTCTCATTCCGTCGTCAAAGAGGAAAGAATTTCATACGATAAAGATAATTTAAAACGTTAGTTGTGATTTTATAAAGGGTTATTGTTCCTTATTTTTATTATGGGAACATCTTTGAAATTGTATATTTACATTAGATGAGATACAAATCAAATGTTTATAACATGAATTTAATAAGGACATGTAACATGTGAATGCGGGCAATGAATAAAGGGATATATGAATTCGTTCAGAATATATCCCAAACGGCTATAGAATCGTTCTTTAATGTTAGATCTTAGGATAAAGTGCGCTATTAATCGATAGTATACCTTTGCGACGGGTGTTTGTTGAAGGATTTTATTTTTTAAGTTAACACATACACAATTCCGAAATGTGAATATTAACTTATAATAGTATGTGTATGTATCTGAATACGAAAATGTGACGAAATGTATGACGATCAAGGATCACAAATTGTCACAGATTATTTCGCTTAAATATTTGTTCGAATCACAAATTGTCCGAGATTATTTCGCTAAAATATTTGTTCGATTTCAACGAAACACATGTCACACACTTAAGTGACAATGTTTTTGGTGTGAAGTGTCACTTTAAACGTCACTGCGACGCTGATATATTTACATGTGCCGTTGTCTGGCGTCAAAGGATAACGACAACAAACTTTGTCAATTCCCTGATTTTGTTGACGTCTAAAATGAACTCTCTACATTAATGAACTTAAGTCCATCGGCCGGAACCACTAAGCAAAAGCGTATCTCGTCACAATATCAATAGGCACCTGTCTCTACAACTGATTGAGAAAATATTTTCACCTCTTCTTAGCTAATTAACCCCTGAGTCGCCTTGCCGGTGCTTTCGCGGGGTGACCGTCACGGAAGCCCGACCCTATTCACGGGTTGTAACAATTGCGACATGGAACAAAAGAATGACGATTTGCGAATCAAGATTCCCGTTGTTTCCGACGGTCGTATTTACGAGGAGATGGCATTGCTTGTTCGAGTTGTTTTAACAATTTCGCCTCTGAAAGCCCGGCGCCTATCTGTCGTGAAGGGGCGTGGCCATATTAACGCGAGCTGCTGACATAATGATATTGGGGGCGGAGCTTAAATCGCGCGTGCTAACAAAATGGGAGGCTGAGAGGATTGTCGGTAGAATTTGCTTGTCGCTTCAACTATAAGCACTAGTCTACCGCGGTACCATAACATTCGCTGAGGCTTTTGACGAGTTTGGATATATACCTGAGTTTGACATTGACATTTATTTGCACACCAAACATGGATCTTTTGTGCCAACTTCCTCACAACCCCTGCGTGAGTATATACTGAAATAACATTTAGATATTCTGTGATTTTTCGTGGTATACATTTCACCGTTATTTAAAGATGAAGAAGACGATTGTTTACACTATTTTACTAACCAGCTGTATAAACAGTTTACCGTAACATCCTCGAAGTAGTATGCGTCATTCCAACCCTGTTGTACGTTAGATGATATTTCCCTTAACGTGTTCACATTGTGGAAAATAAGTGTATTTTTTCAAAATCAGTCTTTGAAAAAAATATGATCTTATGTATTACGTGTACCTTATACTTTATTATATAATTTTTAAAAATATTCGCTGGTGATAATTATAGCTGTCCTTTTAAATTTTAAACGTGAAAGAAAATAATAAGGACCCGCCCCTCATCCTCAGTCACCTGCTTTAACAACAAGGGACACAACTCACCTGTACTTATTCCGTTATGTAATTGGTCAATTTGTGTTCGCGGAGAGTTTGATTGACATGTGAAACGGGTGCCGTAATCACTGACGGCATAGATCAAAGAGTTCTTTTCTGATAATTCCTGATCAACTCCCGCTGAGGGCGGCAAACAGGTGTACAAGTTTTTATATATTATTCAACTAGGTAAAATATTGTCAGAAGTTATTCCGTGTAATAATTCGAATTATGTACCGATTAGAGATTTAGACAATTGTTGAGTTTACAAAGTTTAGAAATAACATGTTTTTGTTCTCGTATTTCATGTTTTGTCAAATTTGAACAGAAAGAAGGGCACAAGTTACATGAACAAGTCGAATTTATATTTTTTTTAAATTTCTAAATAAACTTTCAAATTGACTTATACAGCGTGTGTTTTCACAGATCCAATTCCTCAAACACTTAACAATCACAACAAACCCATTTCGATGAGTCTTCCTTAAAGTGATTGTCAATTAAACGGTAAGCGAGGTTGCCTCAAATCCTTACTGTAAGTATACAGCTAGACTTCGAGTAGTCCTAAATGTTAGATTAGGAAACAAACGAACCAAGCGTTAGACACTCGGATGAGACGCCCTGTTGAGACGCCCGCACTAATAAAACAGGTAACTGGTGGTTCTTGAATCATAACTTGGACTACCCTCGAGACGAACGGCACACACTTACAAACCAGCCTGTCTCATTTGAATACTCCAGCTAAAATGGTTAGCGATTTTTGTCTTTGACATCCCAGTTCAACTCTGTCATATGTTTCGAATTCTAAAATATATTGAATTTATTTTATTTTGTTTCAGAAGTACCCAACCTCCTCCGCAAACATGTACGAGGACGATCTCATCTCGCAACGCGCTCGTGCGTTCCCCCTTTCCCACGGGTTGATGCCCGCCCCACAAGCTTCGTTCTTTGGATTTCCAATGCATCCAGCTCATGATTCGCTTATGGCAGGTCAGTACTATAAATATACAATACCGAATTCCATATCAATTTGGAAACAGTATACACAAATAGTGTATAAATTAATATTTCCCTTTTCAATATTTTCCTAAAACATGAACACACGTTTGCAAGCTTCCGTGTTCAATTAAGATTTGTATTCTATATTTATTAAGATATCGTTGTAGCGGTTCCGATTCATTATTTTTTTACAATATTTGTTACAAGGTTTGCTGTTTCTTCATTTAAATACTATTCGATATATATGACACAAAAAACGGTAAACTGTTCCAACTAGATAAATTACTATTTTCACCGTAATAATGTTTATTGTGTTTATTCGACGACACTTTCAATATTCACAAGTATTACAACGGGGATGTGGCAACTCCCGCTCAATCGTGTCCACAGGCAATCCCAAACTGTTGTTAATTTCAATTTCCCCCTGAAATGAGCTCTCATACATGATTTATATATGAAATTGATGTGGCAAACTCTGTCAATAACGAATTTTTATTTGGTTGATAAATAATACACAAAGAATTGGTCGTTACTATATTTCGATACCGCTAATTTCAATCTGGATGTTGTATGAATTAGCGTGGTATTGCAACGCTGGTTATTACACGTTACAGAAACCCGGCAGTGAAAGTGTTCATGTGTATAATCATATTTTTGTAAAATGTTACCCAAAACGCAAAACCGACATTCGCCGCTGAGTCAATTCCTGGGAGGGACGTATCGAAATTTAAAATTTTAGAATTTGACTACGTTTTTCATTATGCTGCAAGTGAATCATACGCGGTTTTAAATTTCAGAAATACGGTTCACGTTTATTTTACACGACGAGTATTTGACACTCCTTTGTAGAGATTTTATTTTAAGTTGTTCTTTAATTACATTGGCTAAATGCACCTTAAATACACACACACATTTTTTATGAGTAGGCATTCTTAATTTGTAAAAATAACAAAAAACATTTTACACTTATGCATAATCCTATAATCCAAATTCAAATTGGGGGGATTAAAAACGAAACATGCATTATATCGTCTTATATGCACAGAAATAATATTAATAATACAAACAGCCATTTGTTTTTATTTAAATTTCAAATAGCAAACCAACAAGTGTATCGTTACTGATATCGTGTTTGGTTTGGTTCTGAAATCTCTGTATTATGTCCAACTAAAATTAATGTTTTATCAGTAGGCCAAAGCCAGCAGTTTGGGGCGTACCCTCACCTGTCGACGCCGGACCCTAAACGCATGCTTACCTCTGGGGTAGGGCAGAGCGATTCCATGGACAAAAACATTAAGATCAGCCTGGACAACAGAGATTTGTGGAGCAAGTTCCACAACATTGGCACCGAGATGATCATCACGAAGACGGGAAGGTAAGGGTTGAAAAAAAATTTCTTTAAATGGTTTGAATCTTTTTTTTGTTTTACTGTTTGTAAAGCAACCGGTAAGTATTGTTTTGCGTTGGTTATGCATAAACCAACACACTTGTAAGTAAGCATGGGATATAATACGATGTTCACGAAACCTCTTGTTTTGGCGCATAATCCCTTTTCGTGATATTGATTACTCGTTGACTTGAATTCAAATACTGAAAAATACAAATTATCGTAATATATTGGATAAATATTTTCACGCAAGTGTCTGATTATTCAAGTTGCCTAATTTTTTGCAATTTTTATATTTTTCTCTAAATCGATATATTGAAAAACGAATTCAACAATTTATGTCAAATTAGAATTAGCATCTATATATCTTCTCATAGCTAGTCAACGTTCCGCATCAAGTGTTAACGCATTTGGCTGTATTCTGTTTGTACCCCTACTGTGACAAGGGACACCGCACGCGCTGATGACTGCCGCGCGTGCGCATTGTTAATACGGACACGTGCCATGTCGCGTGTCTATCGTTATGCACTCGTCTGTGACAATCAGATATCACAATTTCATAAAATAAATTGTATAAAACCATGATTTTTTTTCGACAAAAAATATTAGAACGTACCACGCATTTATTGGACTAAGTTACTAATACGTTGACTCATTTCGGACGTTATTTGACAACACGTGGGTATAGAGAAAATGCATGCGCAATCTGTAATCAGTTTAACGACCCATTAACGATCCATTCTTCCGGATCAAAAAGTGTTCGTCTTTTATTTCCTTTCATTTTATGATTTTCGTCCTAAAAGAATTTCATTTGACGACAGATGGGAGCAACATTTCTTTTACATATTACCATAAATGATAAATAACATTTTGAAATAATGTAACTGCCCCATGCCCCGCTTGTGTAAAGTAGCTAGAGGTCCCTATAGATTATAGGCGAAACATCCTTCAGTCAAATACAACCTAATTCGAACGCGTGTCATCTTTTTGCCAACTCACTTCAACATAAGCTTCCGTTTTCAAAAAAAATATCTATTCATACGGAACTAGGCCTATTAATAAGCCTAAAGCTTTTGAATACCAGGAAGGCTTGGATAATACCTTATATACGAGCCTCATTTGACCCGGAACCAAATGGTTGTGTTAATAGAAAATGAATGTGTGACGAGGTTGTGAAATAGTTCCTCGCACAGCTTGTCCATAGTACACAGGTACATGGACCTTCTCTGACTATCAAAGGAGGACATTAAGTGGGCTGAAGTTAACACCACGAACAGATGTAATGGGTAAAAAACAACAAATTTAAAGCATGCTCCTTTTCACCTGTTTGAAATCCGGTTCGCGTCTCAATGGTTGTACGGTGTGGCAGGTGTTTTGTTCCCTGTGGAATATGATAACTATATCGGTACACACGGGACATATGTTTCCTTGGCAGGTGTATGCGCTGCGAGAAAATGTGACAGGTTCATTTGTATAGAGCGGGATATAAGCTATATATTTCCTTCCCGGATTTGCTAAATCAGAGAGATTCTCTATTGTAACAAACGCCGTTTTTTTCGCATCCGGGATGCAGGATGTTGTCAATTCAAATGAAAACATGTTACCATGTTTCGGTATAGTATGGCCTTTGGAACTTCCGGATTAAAAGCGCAACGCATGTGGCTCATCAGAATAATGATTTACAGGAACTTATTTTATTTCTTAAATTGAACGAAACAATCTGCCACAACAGACTGTATCCTGGTCATACAAAATCGTCATTTCTTTAGGTTTTTATTTAAATTGAAAATAGACATGCCTTTATATTAAAATATCCTAGTTGCATAACCTACCAAAAAATTAAAATATGCAAACGGATTCCCACCAATGCAGCTGTTGTGCATCTTCTTTATTTTGGAAAATATATTTTATAATATTTGATATTCCAATCCTTCTGTGATGTTTGTGATATTGATTTTATTACTATTAACAAATAAGGTGCGATATACATCACAATATAGGACACGACTTGCCCCTTTTCAAAACGTTCGAACCATGTCAAGTTACAATCTGTATTATTGCCTGTTCATCGGAAAGCAGTTTCAATATAACTCTGCTCGCACTGATGTTCACATATATTGTGTGTTTGGTTGTAATATAGCACGCTTCGAAAAAGGCTCGTTGAACAATTTCATTACATGTGTTTATCGTAAATGTATAATATAAATGATTTAGCATGCTGTACATGCACGTGCAACACATGGCTCACTTTTGTGCGGGCCCAGCTAATATTATCTCGTCTTCAAACGTATATAGTACGTATCGTCTCATCTCGCGAAACAGATGTGCTACGCTCGGCTTCCTAACAAGAAATTATTTCATAGTTCAAATGTTTTCTATTTTAGGCGCATGTTTCCAACTATCAAAGTGACTCTCGAAGGCCTTGACCTGCACGCAAAGTACATCCTACTTGTCGACATTGTACCGGTTGACGATTGTCGCTACAAGTACCATAATTCGGAATGGGTAGTCACCGGAAAGGCTGAACCGCACATGCCCGGAAGACTCTACATTCATCCAGACTCCCCAGCTTCCGGTTCCCACTGGACCAAACAGCCCGTGACGTTCCACAAGCTTAAACTCACCAACAACAACCTTGACCAGAATGGACACGTAAGTGACTGATGCTACCATTTATTGGATACAAACACAATCGTGAGATATGGTAAAGGGTATATGCCCCAGCAGATGCCACATCCTCGGAATATTAAGAAATGGTGTTAAATATTTATTCCGCCCCAGAGTCAATTTCAGAGCGTCTTGCGTGGTGAGATCGGATATGCCGGTAGCCCTTATTCGCCACTCTGCCAACCTTCGTCCCGTAGGGCCTATCCTTAACCAAGAGCATCGAATCCCGAAACTCATTGTGTGAAAAATCACGTTCAAGATCGTAAGAAATAGCGCTCAAATAATTACCAGATCTCGTGCAGTAAATCCCAATATGGTAGCACAAACGAGAATTCCTAGATTTTGCACGAAATCTTTCCTCTTGTCGCTCGGAGCAGTCAAAACAGGACTGAGCAGAGTGATTTGCTCCACTGCGCCTAATGAAGATATGTAGGACTTGTATGCACGGTTTTCTCAAGAGACCAAACATGAAAAATGTCCCAGTCGAGATGGGTTTGGCATCAAGATTTAAACTTGACAAAATGTCTAACAGTTCAAGTTTTCAACACCCAATCGATATTTTTTGTACAAAATATATATATTCTTTGAAGAAAACGCCAATAGTTTGAAACCGGACATAATACCTATTGTTGCCACCTTGTCTCCTCTATTTAGTACCGATCAGTGGTTTATTGGATAAAGATTCCCAACCACTAAACAATCATTAGCTTTAAAGGGGCCTACTTAGCTACGTCATTATTTTCTAGTTCTTAATGAACTCCTGCCTTTACAAGAAAAGCGAAAATGATAGCTCGGTTCTTCTTTTGTGCAATAATTCATTATGAGAGTATTTGGACGGGCGTCCTTGCGTCCCAGGCGCGCAAGAGTCGTTCAATGTTTTGCCTTTGTAATGAGGCATAGGAGCTCCATCACTGCACAGACGCCAACTGAAATTGATATTTTCCCATGGGGCACCTTCGGGGAGCTCACGAGGTCGAAGGTTATTTAGGGAAGGCTTAGGATGAAGGAAAGAGAAAAGAAAAACTAAAATGGCCGTCATTTGGCCCACGAGGCGGAGTCAATTTCAATTAAACAATTTAGGGATCGTGTAATTAAGGATGATCTGTTTTTCGACGTAACTCAAATGGAAGCACGGGGGTTTTGATGAAGCTCAGGAAAATGTCTTAAGGCGCTTGAAACTAATTAAATATGCACGCCTTCTGCGCATGTCTGAATGCTGACGCCGGATGCATTTGATGAATATGCATTTTCCATGACTGAACAATTCACGTTTTCAAATCTAGGAAATTGATACGTTATCACATTTCGAGTAGAAACTAAAAAAGGCAATCGTAAGACATAATTAATTCTTCTTGTCCGATTTTATAGTGAAGCCGTATAATCCTCCTCCATCTCATCTGATGGTATGGACAAGTAACAAAAACTTGATCAAATATTTATCCCCTTAAGCCGTTATTCTGCTGTTCGTGCCAGAAATTACGCTTATGTAAAGCTATAGAGATTTTATCCAAAATTTCCCGGTGACACCTTAATTAAAAACCCGTTTTGTTTTGTTCTCAGGCGTTGAATAACGAGGTCCCAGTGATCCCAAAACTAGGACTTTGACACGAACACGGAAACTGAATATTATACTTTACATACTAAATTATACACAACGCAATGTCTAGACTTATGAGCAGGTTGTCTCACAATCAGTGACTAAACCCAAGTTAGTATTTATACCATACTTTTTCAATCGATATTTAATTTCGATTTCGTATTTGTTTACAGATTATTCTCAACTCCATGCACAAGTACCAGCCAAGGATCCACGTGGTACAGGCGAACGATATCTTCACAATGAGATGGAATACATTCAATACATATGCTTTTGACGAAACTTGCTTCATCGCTGTGACAGCTTACCAGAATGAACAGGTGAGTTCCATTTTTTTTAACGAATAACGGGAAGTGTCTTAGCCTATCAAAATCACCGACACAATCGAGAAATATTCAAATATGATCCGAGGTTCCAAGTGTTGTAATGCTTGTCCTGACGATTCTCGATACGTAATTCAAAGCAACACAAGGTTAGCGATAGGTCAATTTACTATACGAACAAGTGGTCTAACGCGTTCCCCTTGGGACAGTCGCTTCCGTTTCATGTCTTAACTGAATAATGGCGCTACTTTCGTGACGCGCTTCCAGTAATGCTTAATATGGCTTCGGCGTGTAACTGCCTTCGTAATCTTACAGAAACATTCGATCGGCTTCAAAAGCCGACAAAATGAATATTTCATCTGCGAGTATAGGCTCATTCCGTGGGCCGTTTGAAGTAGTCCGCCATTTACATCGAACCAGTTTCCTAACACCTTGGGTTGGTCAGATGGAAAAAGCCGTGAGAGAAGTGACGGATTTGGCGTGGCTCGTGGCACTTATTGCAACGAGTAACAGTATTCAGACATACGATTTTCGTGTCAGCTAACATTAACATGGCGGAAGGGTTAATGGTTAATCGTAAAAGATCTTTAAGCGAATGATTTGATTCCGATTATACGGTGAAATGTACCCGCAACTGGGTGTCAATGAGTATACTTCGTCATTGAAGCGTGATAATATTAAAGATGACAAAAAACGACCAAAAAAAGCCTTAGTACAGTATATGTTCATTTTCAGTAATCGTTTACTGACGGAATTTACAAGATAGCTGAGAGAAGCAGTCGATAGGGTTAGCGCACGTGTTAGGCACCGCGCTCGCTATTTAACCGCACGTCCTGGTGCTGTTTGCGCACGCGTCGAAAGTTTTTGGCCGCGCGGCGTCGTTAAGAGAGCAACCACGCACGTGCAGCAAACCAAGTATCGAAATTGAATTATAGACTCGTTATCAAATATAATGTGCGCCAACAGTGGTCTCGAGTATAACAGAATATATTAACGCATGTTACTCTTTGTTCATGTGGTATTTATATTGTTTTCAGATAACCCAGCTCAAGATTGATAACAACCCATTCGCTAAAGGCTTTCGTGACAATGGAATGGGGAGACGGTAAGTTAAATATTAATTCTAAAACATGGAAAAACAAGTAATACGCTTAACATTGTCGTAGTAATGACTGGTATTATCTTCTGGAGCAAGTAATCAGCCCCAGCACCTTTCGTGGCTGGAATCGCATTTAAATGTTACAACGTTCTTTGATGTTCGGTTAACGTTGCTTCAGCAGCGTGGTCGCCGTCAGCGACGTTATCACGCCATGGCCAGAACGTTTCTCATAAATCTTTGTAACCTTGGAAAATAGGCGTAAGACAGCGAGACTAAACGTGACAGATCATAGACCGGTGGTGTCTGAGCCAGAGCACTCGGCGCCGATCAATATATATTCCTACACGGAGGGAAAAAAATAAAATGCTTTGTCTACAGAATGTGCGAGAAAACGGTGGCAAATCTGTAGAGGTGGTAGCGCTAAGTTGTGACAGTTAGAGTGATTTCAACGTTGGTCCGCCTAGAAAAATGTCATCAGGGGAGCTAGGTGTTAAAGAATTGGCGGGTTGGTTGCGGGACGAGTTGATCTAAACGTCGCGTGTATTGACCAAGGCGTGTTTGAGGTGTGCCGGGTTGATTTAAAATGAACATATTCATCTTACTCAATAAGGCCTATTTCGCGAATATATTGATGATGGTCAAAACGATTCCGGCTGTTCGTCCGCGGAACACGGAAAGGTGACAAATCTTTTCCACTAGGCGCTAGGCGTTGACATATTGTCTGATTTCCCTCGTGGTTTGAGGCCCGCTAGCATCATCCACAATTGTAGCCAGTTTCCCCCCTCCCCTGTACCCATTCACACATTGTGTCTTCTCTCTTCCAGTGATCACCGCCTAAGCATTAAAAGGCCAGCAAGCGAGGACGGGTCTTCGGATCATGATAAAGGTAAATGCTTCAGCCATCGTCCAGATTTTTTCCTCCCGGCCTTCTTTCATGGCTTGGCAATTGAATTACACATCTGCCTGCCCAGGCTTCCTGTCAATGTTTTTCGGCAAATCCTCTCAGTTGCCGCATTTTCTAACACGTGTGAGAGCTAGTCGCCGGATTGACTATCTGCCAGGGCTGTGAAAATGCACGCTTTTACACCCCACGCGAATTTAAGTTTGTCACTTTCGTGGCCAGAATGCCCTGAACTGGGCCGGAGTGAGAATTCAGCATCTTTGTTATGTGATTAGCTGCAAGGTCTTGCAATATTGATGAGACTCGCTAATTGCATCAGCGAGACGACACTGAAATATCGCGGCAAATTTTCGCACCTATACTCTCGACTAATTCAATAATCTTCTGAAACTCGTCAGCTTACACCTGGGCCGAGAAATGGCGTCGATGTACTCGGAAAACCGTTCTCATCTGTTCCAGAATAACGATTAATGTACTCCGAAACCCCAATCTGGTTCAAGTGGCAACTCAAATAAGCACCTTACCGATTTATGGTTAACCATTCCAGTTTGAGCTGAAGGGGAACCGTTCTCTTAAACCGAAATCCGATTGTTTTTGTTCGATGGTGTTGCGGGTGAAAAAGTAGCCGACACTTCCTCTCACGTAAACGTCAGAGACGCGAGAAGTTGGAACTGAATTTTGGAAAAACTTGCCTTCTGTGAGATTTGCTTGTAGTTCTTGACAATTTATAAAAAAACTAAATGACTTGACTAGAACCGATGGCGTTAGTTTTGTTGTCAAACGTAATCTGTTCCGGTAATTATGACAAAATGTTTTGTAAATTTACTAGGAATTAATTACCAAAAAACTTCTTTTCTTACATAGTGTATATGACTTTACATTAAAAAATCGATATTTGTTAACAATTCGAATTACGAATTTGGCTAAAGAAAGAGCGAAACAAAACGGGTGGTAATAATTGTCTTACGACTAAAGATTGTTACGACATCTCGGCTTGCGGGCGCATTTGGCACGCGCCCCTTTACGGCATGTGGTTAGAAATGATGGCGATTATGCTCGCCCCGGACTGCGCATGTTACGTCACGTGACGTCATTGTAGCACTTTCTATTGAACAACCTGTCGGGTATTTGTAATCTCATTTGTAACACGAGTGTTGTGTTTTATCGGGTATGTTATCAGTAATTGGGTTTGGGCTACCTGTCGTCGCTATGAAAAGAGCGCCACCTGTCAGTTGAAAATGACAATAGACGAACAAATTTCGGAGGGATGTTTGCGTAATACTTCGTACATCCACGTAAGGATAATATTTTTGTTAACAAAGACATTTTGCTACAAATCGACGTGAACGATGTTGAGTAACGTATGACATTCGAACACCAGACACTCACAATATGTCACCCAGAATATGTCGACCGCAACCAGTAGTAAATCTATTAAGGCATTGATTAACAATATAGGCATATAAACGAATAAACACAACGATTGTTATTATCTATGTTCTGCTGTATGAAATATTGTAGAGCAACGATTCGGTTGTAAGCATGCCCCGCGAGTTGTATGTTTCATAGTGCTTGATTGACAGCCGTGGCAGATGGAACGTCGGGCTGTTGTCGATTTCCTCGGTTTGACAGGTGCTAGGGGCATTGTTCATAGCATTGTGTTAAGTAAATAATTGATAGGTGGCCACTCGGATAAATAGATCAAACGGCACTTGAAGCATTTCTCAAAGCGGGTGATTTATATTGTAGGAGATGCTTTCTGTTTCATTTAATTAAGCTAATATTCGTTGTATATGGTAGAGATTGGGTTTCAAAGTATTTATTGTGTTTGATTTTCCGTTACAGTTGAATTAACAGCGATGAAGAAACTGAAAACAGATGAAGATGATATTGGCATGAAACTGAAGACGGAGCCTCACAACGCTGTGTCGTCACAAGCTCAGAAAGATGAGGACAGCGACCCAGTTTCCGACACATCTGACGACAACCCCAGTGATGCATCTGGCACAGAACTTCCCCCATGTCAGATCCTGAAATCGACAGCCATTTCTCCGGATCTGGAAAAATCCCGTGGATCCAATAGCGCGAGCTCCACTCCTTCTCCCAACCAGTGCCAGTTCGGCTCCGTCAAGTCATTTAACCAGTCATGCATGGGAGGCGAACAGGTCTACTACCCACACCACCCCGCCGTCAGCAGGGTACCAAGCAGTAGCTTCCTTCCCGTTTCAACAAGCTCAGCACTCCTCCAGCCCGTGTCAAGCAGCATGAGTTTAAGTCTTCACCCCGTCAACAGTCAAATGCAGGCTTGTCGCTTGTCGGGACAAACCAACGATTGTGCGATACGTCAAACAAGCGGCCTGAATACGGCATCTCATGGGTACGGCATCCGTACGACCCCACCCCAACACCACCCCTCACTCTCATCCTGCACCTACATGCAGTCCGCTCAACCGTACGCAACGCACCTCACACCAAACATGCATATGATGAATATGAATTTCACGGGTCCCATGGCGTGAAAATACACACATGGTGTGTGAACATTAACCCAGGGCCTGGCCCGTCTACAAGTGCTTGCCCCCTACAGCTTCGGGGTTCGGGGACGCGGGGGTGTCACGTGAGGACAACCGCAACACTGCAGCGAATATTGTACATATTTGGACAATCTAGCAGCGACGTCACGGACTGCCGAGGTGCTCTGTACATATTTGACAAAACGGATATGACGTCATTGTCACATGATCAGATCGGCAGTTTCTCATTGGTCAGGTCTCATTTGCTCAACCGGAAATCTGTGTTGTGTGTGGAACGTTGTGTACAAAGGTGTTCACAAAAATAGACCTTAACTTGCTGAAACGAATGCGGCAAAAATTGTCAAACCCAAATTTACTTTTGGGCCATGAAGACGTTTATTTATTCATTCTGACATGAACATAGAGTTATGACTGTATTATATACATATTTATATGTGACTCACATTTGGTTGTTTCAGTGCACCATGATCTTATAACGTCATTCCTAAGGAACCCTAGGTCCCAAATGACGTGCAAGAATTGTTTTTCTTGCCAGGTTATTGATATTTTATGACTAAAATATTGAAAACTAATATTGCGTTTTGTTCTGTTTTATGAGTCTTCAAGTGTTTCTATTCACAATGGCGGGCACGGCTTGCCCAGTCGTCCATGGTGTCGCAATTCGCTGTGCAGAGTTGCGTCCCTTGGGCACGCCAAAAATTGTCATGGTTTCGAAACCTGACGTATGTCTCTAGGTTTGTCGGCACCATACCCGTGCTCATGGTAAACCTGCATCACTTTGGGCTTTCCTCCCACATTAAGCTGATACGCCTTGATATAACTTGAAAACTGTTCAAAGCGGCGACTCATCAAGGCAGACGCCCCCCGACGCCGTTAGCGGGAACTGAAAGATTTGTTGATTGTTGTTTAACGCCGCACTCAGCAATATTCCAGCTCTATGCCGGCGGTCTGTATATGATCGAGTGTGGACCAGACAATCAAGTGATTGACATCATGAGCATCGATCCACGCAATTGGGATATGGTGACCAACATCAACCAAGTCAGCGAGTCTGACCGCCTGATCCCGTTAGTAGCATTGTCGCCTTTCACGGCAAGCATGGGTTGCTGAAGACCCATTCTAACCCAGATTTTCACGGGTACGATACAATACATATCCCAATACTATGGGTGCAGTTGGAATACGATGACATGTATCCCCCAAGCATAGTCGCCTTTAACGGCAAGAATGCGTTGCTGAAGATCTATTGTACCCGGATGTTCACGGGAACTGAAAGAAGGCAACGCCATTTCCGAAATTAAGTTTGGATATTGAATAGGTTCAGGGTAATTCACAGTTGATTATAAGGGGGGTCCTCTCCCCTTTGAAAACCAAATGAAGTATGTTGTAGGATGTCAATTGAGAGAGAATTTTGATATTTTGGACCCTCCCTTTTAAAAATGTTGGATCCGCCCTTGCTGTGCATACGGTGTTTGCGCTTGTCATGGCTAGATATAATACACACTTCCGGACCGCCTCCGTGGTCTAGTGGTGGAGCGTCCGCCCGGAGAGCGAAAGGACCGGGGTTCGATCCTCGGCCGCGTCATACCAAAAGACGTTAAAAGATGGTACATGTTGTTACCCTGCCTGGCGCTCGACATTAAGGGGCTAAAACTGGTCGGTACGGAATCAGAAAACTTCCTGAGTGGGGTATTCATGTTAAACTGCGGCATGGTATCTCACTATGAATTGGCATCAGTCCGGTCTAGTACAAGCAGCCACACACACACGTGCATGCACGGCGCTATATAAGTGTAATAATCTTGGTCGTTCACCTTCTTTTCGACATCATAAGTCAAGCCAAGTGTCACAGCAATAACACTCGTCTGGGAATGATCGATCTTTGGAAATAATACAACTGGCCTTTTTCAGCAGTTCCGTCAACCCCGGAAGCACCGCCACTACTTCCGGGTGTGCAATACAAACATTTAGGCTACACCAGGTTCGCGGTGATCCGGGGATCAACGCAATAGCGAGGTGGAAGGCTTGGGAGATTTTCATGGCAGTGTGGTCCTTATGTATATCCGGCAGATAACTCCGATGAGATGGGGCTGCATAGTAGTGGAAGCGTTCGTTATCACGCTGGAGACCCGAGTTCGATTCCCGAGTCGACCCTATTCTTTTTTGTCCTGCCTTGTGATATATTGCGAATACAGCTCAATACATTCACACAATTAATTATTAAGACACATACACGCATTGCACAGTGAATTATGAATCAATGTAACCTAATACAACTGAGGCTTGACCCATACTTTCCGGTGACTATACTTGTTGTAAGAGGCGGCTAAGGGGATCGGATGATCAGGATCGCTGACTTGATTGATGGATATCATCGTATCCCAACTGCGTGGATCGATGCTCATGATATCAATCACTAGATTGTCTAGTTCAGATTCGATCATTACAGACCGCCGTCATATAGCTGGAATATTGCTGAGTGCGGCGTTAAACAACAAACAAACAACTGAGGCTTGCTTGAACTACGTTTAAAAGATTAAATGAACGTCGTTTTGGTCCTATAAATGCCCCCTTTCTGTAAATCCCCCTTTCAAATCGCAACAGTTGTTGTATTCACGCCAATAAAGACCTATTTGGTTGTCAAAATCAAAACTATTCTTTTCGTTGGATCAAAATGAATTATTTATGTTGGCAAACTTAAATTCCAAAGGGCACAGTCGAAATCTATTACATTTCTATCCTGTATAGGACTACATGGCGGGGTTACCGGCCGAAAGTAATGACATTCACGATGAACCTTCTCGTACATTCAACTACTGTTTTCGTAAGATGATATAGTGAGAAGTGCTAACGAACAATTTTAGAAATTATAAACACAAACGCATATTTACTTCAATGTGACATATCCACGTGACTGGAGCACACAAGTGACGCGTGCCCCGTGTGCGTGTCTCCCACACCTATTGAAAGTTACATACTACTACTACTACTACTACCACTACTACTACTACTACTACTACTACTACTACTACCTCTACTACTACTACTACTACTACCTCTACTACTATTACTACTACTACTACTCCCTTTTGAAACTAATGTGATTGACACGATTCAGGAAAAACATAGCAAATATGCAGACCTCACGCTTGCATCCCAAGTACCAAGTTGCCCGACTCCCCATTGTTCTCGGTGCCTTAGGCTTGGTACCTCCCAATCTGTTGACTGACATTGGGAGAGTACCCGGGTTTAATGCTAGGAATACAGCCCTTCTGACAATCTGGGTAATGCAGAAGGCTGCAGTGTTAGGGGGTCTTCACATTCACCGAAAAGTTCTGGGTGGGTTCGACTAGGCAGCGCTTCCATCATCATCATCATCATCATCATCATCACCGACACCACCACCACCACCACATCATCATGATCATAATCATCACCACCACCACCACCACATCATCAACATCATCATCTTCATCATCACCGACACCACCACCACCACCACATCATCATGATCATAATCATCACCACCACCACCACCACATCATCAACATCATCATCTTCATCATCACCGCCACCACCACCACCACCACCATCATCAACATCATCATCACCGCCACCACCGGTAATGATGATAATAATTTATGTTTAATCGCACAAGCGTTGTGCGTGCTCGCAGCTCTTCACTTATAGCACCTGCGATTTAAACATGTCCAAAGGCTGAGGTAGGTTTATGCTTAGAGGAGGTTTGTTCCACATTTCTTGGAGACAACGCTGAAAGATTCCTTTCCATAATTTGTGAGATTGTAATTCGGAATTGACAACAGGTGATGATTTTCCGAGTGCATTGACTTCTGGGACTTGTACTATCCTTGACGTTGTCTAGTAGGTTGACTAAACAAGGCGGAGCTAGGACCTGCTGCCACTTAAACGTGAGCCAGAGTACTTTGAACTTTGTTCAGGCCTCAACTGGCGGCCAGGTAAGTGACGTCAATCCTGGCGTAATGTGTCACTGCACGCCTGGGATTCGTTTATCCAGATTTTCATGGGAGCGGTACAGTCCGGATTAACGACTATACTCATGTACTCCTCCATAGTGATGTGCAGAGATGCATATAAGGCAAAACAAATTTATTGTGGTTTTTTCTTCCTCTTCAATATTTAATCATTACTTTTCGGTGATTTCCGTATCATGACCAGGTTAAATAATACTGTATTAAAAGTTGTCAATATCTTGTCAACTCGACCGAAGACTGATCAGAAGAATGAGCCCGGGAACTCCGTCAGTTTATGAGTGAGTGAGTGAGTGAGTGAGTATGGTTTTACGCCGCTTTTAGCAATATTCCAGCAATATCACGGCGGGGGACACCAGAAATGGGCTTCACACATTGTACCCATGTCGGGAATCGAACCCGGGTCTTCGTCGTGACGAGCGAACGCTTTAACCGCAAGGCTACCCGACCGCCCCCGTCAGTTTATGAGATATTAATATGAGAAAGTATTGACAGCTCTCTACCTTATAAAGTAATATTTGAGATCCGGGTTAGAATTTATCTTCAGCAACCCATGCTTGTCGTAAGAGGCGACTGACGGGATCGGGTGGTCAGGCTCGGTGACTTGGTTGACATCGCAACCCGATGGCCTAGATCGATGCTCATGATGCCAACCACTGGATTGTCTGGTCCAGACACGATTATTTACTGCCTGGCTATTACTCAGTGCGGTGTTAAACAACAAACAAACATACAAACATCGCACCGATGGAAGGAGTGAAAGAAAAAATACCGTATTTCCTCTAGAAAGAACCGGAGATTTTTTAATGAACTTGCCTGAAGGTTAAGTTTCCAATTTAATACTAGGTCAGCCAAAGATGAATATTTCTCCCCATCAAATTTGAAAAATAAAACGTTTACAACCTTAAGTCGTTTCTTGTCATATATATGAAATGGTTTAATAAGGATCCGCCTCCGTTGTCTTGTGGATTTAGCGTCTGCCCTGAGAGCGGAAGGTCGATGGTTCGATCCCCTGCCATGATATACCAAAAGACGTTGAAAGTGGCACTTGTTGTTATCCTGCCTGGCGCTCGGCATTGAGGGGACTGGTCGGCTCGGACTCTGGGTGAGTGCTGTGTCTGGGTGGGTTATACATGTTAAACAGCGGCATTGTATCTAGCCCTATAATACCGGCATTATTCCGTGCTTGTACAGGCAGACACTGGACGGACGGACGGTCGGACACACACACACACACACTCTCTCTCTCTCTCTCTCTCTCTCTACGGTAATCAATTTGTTTTTACCATACTTTCTATGCCCTGTTTGAGTATATTTTTAAAATAGATGAAATTGCATTACAGTCAATCACTGATTTCATAGGGATTTCGCCTTGGGTATTTTATTTTCTAAAAACACCTTGCAACAATATGTTTTTTGTGGCAGACAATTTTTTTTAACAATCTGAAGCAAAATATATTTCCACCACGTGTTCAATTTGCCCACTGCACTGTCATCATTCAAAGTGACACTGGCAATACATAAACACTTTTGTATATTTCACCATGTTTTCAGGGCTTTGC